CATACCGTAGTCGCAACTGAGGATGCTGCTCATTAGCCTCCAGATTCTTGATCAAGGTAGGACCGACCATGGGGTTTGAGTTGGAGTAGGTATTGTGGTCATTGGTTCCGTGTACGGAGTCCCAGATGGAGTCTGGAGATGAGCATCGACCCCAGCACATTCATCGACATTGAGACAGGCGTGGAGCTCTATCCCCAAGACTCAAGAGCCGGTGCCGTCATCAGTGAGTGACAGAATTGAATTTGCAGGATAGAGTGCCGGTCGGCATCATAGGCACGCTTCCGGTAGGTCGGGAACCGAGGCGATTGGCGGCCTTGTTTGCTTCCTCGTCGCTTATGCGACTGATTGGTCAGTTCAAGTTAGGATGATATCGCCGACGGCCGATGGCCAGTGGTGGTCCAGTCTTTGCATATCATGAGTCCTTGCTCAAAGTCCGGCCGGCCGAGTCACTATTATTGCCCGCGGACATCGGGCTTTGATTACTATATTGGTCCGTGTGAACAGTAAACGTGAAGGCCGTTGGTGGGGTCAGGCAAGGTAGGTGTGGGAGGGTTGGTAGGTCTCGTCTCAGGCTCTTCCTTGGCTGTTGAACGGGAGCCCAGGCTCGCAGTCGCTGCCCCCCTTGGCGACTGTGAGGGAGTATTGGTATGGAGTCGGGACTCAGGCCCAGGGAGCGATGTCTAGAACTCCAGGCTTCAGGGAGAGAGACAGTGAGCCGGGATAAGAGAGTCAGCCGTGGTCATGGCCTTCCAAGTTCCCTGGGGAAGGGGTACGGGCTAATTAGCAGGGCTAGACATCTCTATGGAGTACTCCCGCTCCCGCTCTCCTCGCAAGGTCCTTACTTTGGCTTCTAAATTTGCCCTTTTTGACATGGGACTGGGAGTTGGGACAGATCCATTGTTGAGGACACATCCTGGGAGCATGGCAGAATAGTAGGGTACGGGTATCCTGTTGAAGAGTCCAGTTGTTGGTTGGTCGGAACTTGTATTGCCAGAGCTCCGGCTCGGCTCCGGCTCGAGCTCTATCAGGTGAGGAGCGTAGGTCAAGGATGGAACACAAAGAAACGCGTCGATTTCGGGCTGCCAATGCGGGAGTGTTCATCGTGCCTCAATGGAGAGTTTTCAGAGCTTTGAGCTTTCAGACTTTCAGACAGCACGAGCAGTGCGTGTGGCCAGTTCTGATGCAGGATGAGATGAGATGCGAGAGATGATCGAAGGTTGAAGGTTAGGTGGGTGGGTTGCGAGATGAATGGATGGTGCTGGCAGGTAACCGTACCGGCGTGGTAAGGAACACCCTTCCAATTGCAACCCCAGTATTCCCCGTCCGGCCGCAGAAACAACTGGAGGATGTGTCGGGGCCGGCTCCGGGCCCCGCACAGCCGAGTTGCGAGATTGGTGGCCGATGCAGGCAGGCAGTCCAGGATAATTGCTGTGAGATGAAGCCCAAGATGCAAAGAAAAGAGGGGAAGAGTGGTTTGCTGTTGGTGTCAAGTTTCAGATCCAAGCATGCGTCGGGCCCAAGCAAAACGCCCACCTGTCAATAACAGGCACGGCTATCTGTTGGCGTTGAGAGAGAGGAGAGCCAAACCGATGCAGACTGCAGGATTGCAACGCAACTGCAAGTGATATTGAATTGCTGCGATGCAAACCAAGATGCAACGTTGATGCCTCGAGCTTCTCCCAGGTTCTAGCATGCCTCAAACCAGACGAGGCGTGTACGTACTTTGCACCTGTGCGAATTAGTATATCCGTATCCCTCTGGTATTACCTCCCATTCACAATGAGGTAGCATCCGTACCTGCTGTCTACGAATGTCGACTACGGACTGGTATCCGTAGGTCACCTCAATTTGGGTACAATGTGCACCGCATCTATGCTGCCTGAGGATTGACATCCGAGCGGCCAGGCCACAAATATCTCAGGCACCACTCGTGGGTGACTGAGGGCATGAATCAAGGCACCAAGGCATCAAGGCATCAAGGCATCAACAAGCCAAGAACGCCCTCCGTCCCGAAATCTCAACCCTCCTAGGCGGCGGCATCTGAAAATAAAGTCCAGCGCCGGTTTCTTGCCGACAAACGCCGATTCACCCGCACGGCCCTCAATCTCTAGTATCCGAAGTCACGTCACTGGGTGTATTGAGCATGAGCCATTTGCCTTCAACGCCAGGCATCGCGCGCCCGTAGTCTTCAGCGGTGCACCACCACCACCAGAACCTATCCACCACACATCGATTCATCGGACGTAGCTCCTGGGTCCAATAAAACAACCCAGCAAATACCCGGATGCCCAATGTAATCTGCTCCAGGACCCTGGATGAAGAGCCTGCCGTTGCGCAAATGGAACTGCCCAGATGTATGGGTGAACCTTGAAACGCGCCGCCTTGGGATGCCGCAAATCTGCGCACAAAGATTGATTGGGGTCGGGGGTGCCTTGGCGTGGATATTGCATAGCCGTCGCTCAACCACACCCCTACCTTTGCGGCAAGCTGGATGGAGACTGGAGTTCGTTTCTGCCTCGATCCATCCATGTTCACGACAGCTAGCCATCCACCAGTATTGTCATCTCTCTACGGATACCTTGGCCCAACTAGCCGGGCGTGGTACAGATATGGAGTAGGCATACACCACGCCCATGCACACTGGAGGGAAATCAGATCTGGCTTGATCATCTCGCGGTACGGCAGCCCGTACGCGCACTCCCCCCATCATGTACACAAAGCGCAGGCACACGCTTCCACCATCACTGCCACATGCACTTCGGTTTCCTTGGCGCGTTGGCTTCGACCTTCCCTTCGTCAAAACCACGCGGGCGTAAACCAGCACCCTACACAGTAGATGCCGGATGATGCTGCGGTAGCTAGGGCGCACAGTCGCTTGTATGGCACCCTCACTTGCCATGCCGCCGACGTTAGCTTAAGCTGGCATCCCTAGCAGTCGTAGCAACGCCGGGAGCATGTCTCGATGGAATCAAACGGATATTGCCGTTCTCCATGATCCCCTTCCTGGTCGGTGACGCGACATAGCTCCCTGCTTAATCCCAAGATAATCAGAACATTGTACTCCGTACTGATCACTCTGGGTCCGGGGTCCCGAGAACACCAGCTGCGGCGCAAGAGCTTGCTATGAAATCTTGGCAACGATTCGACGACGCCGGCGTGTGAGTGTGATAGTCACAAATGCCGTGGATCATAGCTGGAGAGTTTTCCCGGCCCCGGCTGTTTGCTCTACTGTGGTAACGTTTTCTGCCAACTGACCGTGTAGCTTTGACTGATGCAATTGGATGAGTCTTGGTATTTTTTGACACGTAAGTAAATTTCCGGCCAGACTCGCGGCAAGTTGTCGTGCTGCAGACCAACGTGCGTGTTTGGACGCATGGCCTCGTTCACTACCAACAGTCGAATTGACTTCTGCGTGGTATAGCCTGCTACAGACCCAACCGGGCCGAACTCTTGCCAGGCACAGAGGCAGGCATGGTTGATTTGAAGGTAACTGTAGCTCACCTCTGAGTCCGAGACCAAGCGATCGTGCAGCACTTGTCAATCTACACACGTACGTAGCTATGTATATACAGCCTGTCATCGGCTTGCCATGAAAGACAAAGTGCACGTTTCTGAGCCTAGTTTCAGAATGCAGATAGCCATTGACTTTGACGGCCTCGTGTTCTGATCTGGCACTAGGTAGGTATTGCAAAGAAATGAAAGTCCATTGCGCAAAGTCAGTGTGCTGCGGCAGACAGGTACTGTTGTACCTCTGAACGAATTAGACACACACAACGATGTCTACCTTGCGCATTGCACACCTGCCGACGGCGATGAGGCGGATCCAGGCATGTTGAAGTTATGCTGCTGCATTCCTCCTGTTGACCCTTCTTCATTATGACTGGAATTGGCTCGCCCTACTAAGCCAAGAAGGTTAGCATTGTCGAGGAATATGCTGGGTGTTTCTTGGAGCTAAATTCAGAGCAGTTGGCCAAGCGAGAAATAGCTCTCGGATGTCGGGTGGGCACTTGCACCACACCATCTCAAGGTACGATGAGACGGTTTAGCTTGCCTTGGGTATGTATCCGTACGGATATCTAGGTTCTGTTGGAATAGAGTTGCCCAGCTTCATCCACACAGGTGTCAAGTGAGGAACCAGTGCTTGCTGTCTAAGGATGAAGTCTCGATGGCGGAAGGGACAAGTGTCCAATTGTGTAAGTTAGGCGTTGCAGAATGCCCGGCGACCAATATTTGATCTACTCCCGGCCGTTCGGTCAGTTCGGCACACCGTTCCTTAACTGATACGACGACGTTATAGGTTGTAGTCAAAACTGTCGTTGTAGCCATCGGTTTCGGAAAGTAGGCAGACCCTCAAAATGGAGAATGACGATACTCCGTACACTACACTGCCGGTGGGTGGTGTGAGCTCCCCTGGTCTTGACCCCACACCCCCTAATGTCCCATTTCGACAAGGCCGTGTGTCAGCTGTGGTCTTCCCAGCAAGTGACATGGCTTGGTTTCTTAGAAGAACAATTCGTACGGATATCCGCACATAGTGTTGACGACGTATGCCAGACTGATAGACCACTAGTCAGATAGCCTCAGGGACAGAGAAAGTGGCAGGAAGGTTCGCTAACTAACTACGCCCTTGAGGCAGGCACTTGGGCATCTCAGAGTGAGGCCCACCTGCCGGCACGAGCGTGGTAAGATGCATAAGAGAAAACGACGGGCGGTTGCATTGTTCCATTCCGAAGTACCTTACCTAAGGTCCACTGGATGAGGTAAGAAAGGCTCAGGACGGTGAGTACCAAGGAGCACTGGCTGGATATTCTCAGCCAAAGTCAGAATGGTGCCCAAGTGGGTACAGTCTGCGAACAGCAGGTCACGTGCGTCAACGGCTCGTGCTTTTCCTGGCTTGGCAGACACCCCACGGCCATGTGATCCACGCCCCATTCCCCTTCTGCTCCCGCTTCACCCTTTTCGCTCCTTCAACTACAACCCCACCACCGCCACCACCCACCTCACGTCACCATCCAGCCATCCATTCTTTGTACTGCACGTCGCACAGCCTTCCATCGACCACCCACCCTATTACCACCCTTGTGTTGATCATTCTTCAATTTCTCGGGGACCTGAGCCTCCCACCCCGCCTGGGTTCCTGGCGTTGGATGCTGAGGAGCAGGGGTGGCCTGTGGTCCCTTGTTCTGCAGCTCGCAACTTACTGGCTCGGCTTGCATCTGCATACGAAATGGAAGATCCTGTCCACCCTGCTCCCTGCTGAGGTGACAAGCTTGATGGCATTAGTCTTTTCTCCTCTGCTTTTTCCTCTCTTCCCTATCGTTATTTGCTTTTTCTTACCTTACTGACCGTCCCTTCCCCTTATCCGCGAACTCCTCCCTAAAAGTAGCTACTATACAAGTGTATCCGTACCCGTAGACGCAATTCTACCGCGGGCTTGTACCTGGCCTAGGGAACCTTGACATGAGCACTTGTTCTCTCCCGTCAATGAAATTTCGGCCTCTTTCTTTTCGGACGTTGGTCCCCAGTTAACTTTTCGACTGAGGCTGTTGGCCGGGTTCGCAAACCCGCGGACCCGCCGTTCGTTGCTCGGATCGCACTTCATTGCGAAGTTGCCGCGACCAGTCTGTCCATACTAGAACCCTGTATCTGTATGTCTCGTCTCCTTTTATCTTCCTTGCTACTCCTAGTTGCTTCATCCGTACCGATGATCAGCCATTCGCACTCTTTCACATGGTAACTATGCAACCATTGTCGCGATGAGCCTGTCTCGAATCTGGAAATACATTAGGTGGTGCTGTGTGGTGTCGTCTCATCCGTACCTTACTGTATGCGGATACTCCGACAACGAAGCACTCGGCCGACTCCAAGTGGTGATCCCATGCTCCACTCAAGCGTATGGCATTTGAGCCTGTCGTCGTCTCGTCTCCTCAATACTCAAACCTTTATCATATATACCCTTACCAAGTATAGCGAGACTCAACCCACCGCCAAAATCTGAGTGTCTTGGCAAAGTTGTACTCGTACACGTCAGTGCAAACATGAGCTTCAGCTAGGGATGGAGAGCTTCGATAGTAGTACATTACCAATACTGGTTCTATCATTAACTCTGCAGGCTTTGGGGTGCCGAGACGTCAAATGGATCTTCGTCACCTCTCCACGCCATTTCACAACCCTTCCACCGATCCTAGCCACCTATCGTGTAGGGTTTGAAGCCCGGGCCCTGGTCAGGCACGAATCAATACCCGCGCGGAGTTCTAGCTCAGCCAAATCAGCGAAGCCGACGCAGCAAGCCACGGTCCCCTCAGGCACGGCAGGCCTGTCTAGTCTCTATTGGTACGCATTGCTCAATTACTACCTATTTCCCTGACGCAAAGCCACAGGCGTTTGGCCCTGCGAAAACGAGCCACCAGCATCGGCAAACGGAGTACGGAGTACTCACATCCCATGTGTGCCTGTCTGTCTTACCTAAGACGTACCACGCGAAAACGAGTGCCTCTTCCTGGCTCTAGAGTACGTATCGGCTGTCTGTCTCTCAACGGCGTAAGCGCTAGGATATGTGCCCTAATGGTTCCGGCACCGTGCCGACGAGATTCAACAGCGACACATGTGCTACTATCGGCATCAACTAGAGATCCCAAACACATTTCTGTTGCCAGATGCTCTTATGCGCTGTGCGGTTGAGGAATTAAGCGGGTTTTGTTCCATTTCTAATTAAGCACAAGGCGCGACTTTAGAGCCGCGCTGGGTGGGAAGCAGCAGGCATTCGAGCTTACACCAGCCACTTGGTCGTGGGTAGAGTTTTCTTGATAACAATCTAATAGAGTGACATCGACCAAAGGCAAAGCCGCAGTCAATTTAGCATGCCACGCGGGAAGCGGGCGAGGGAGGGCAAGGCCGGGCAAGGGACCAAAGAAGTAACAGGACGGTAGGCAAATTTGCACCGTCAAAAACAATCCTATTCCACGAGCAGCAGGCACAGACGGTCATTGGCAAAGGGGGAAAGGTGCATTGGTCAACGACGGCGAGGAAGCTCGGCTCTCCAGAGACTGAGAGGGTACTTGAGTCAATCCTTGAACGTACCTACCGCACACCACCACATCATGCTTCTTCTACTAGCATCCGACGTGTAATTAATGAGTTACGACAACAAGTTCACAGAGTACCTTACATAGCAGTACCTTGAGGACACGATGAACCATCCGCACACTACCCAAGCACCGGATGGAGTATGGACTGAAGCTGGGGGTATCCATTGGCCTAGCCCCGTCCTGTCTCAGTCCGGCGCAGTCGGGACAAACACCAGAGACTGCGGGACGAAACCAGGACATGAGGGATTCTCTAGATGGGAGCTGACTCTGCATCGCCCGGCGTTGTCTTTCGGCTTTGTCCCTGGCGCGCTTCGGAATTGGGGTAGAAGAACCCGTCTGCCGATATAGATGTGGTTGGCGAGGGCAGTCCTCGATTACGAAAGACCAAGATGGCACCCGTACGCGCGCACGTACGGATACATACGTACCCCTTGTGGCCTTACCCCTTGTGGCCTCGATGCTCCTCCCCAAGTCAAGGTAGCGTTGGGACAACGTGGAATGGTTCTATAGATGAAATGCATCCTCGCAATCGGAATCACTCTTCACACCCATCCACTGTGTACTGCTACTATGCAAGAACACCTAGGCTGTATTGAGCTAAAGCGTTTTCGATGCTGCTCGCCTCGTCTAGAGAAGTTCGTCTCGATGGTTGATGATGCCTCATCTTACGTACGTATTGTCCAGTGGTTCTTACGCATTCCCTGTTTCCCTCCTTTTTCTTCATCTTCCCCTCTCGCTTTCTCTTTTATTGGCGTCATCAATTCATCCATACCCGAGCGCTTTGGGGCACGACAGTGGCATGACTGACACGGCAGTTGCGTTGA